CTATGGCCTGCTGGGGTAATAATATAGTGTAAAGCGCATAGAGCTTGCTTTCGAGTGGGGACATGCGCTATACAAATGCTATTTATTATCATTATTGTTCAGAAAACGAATTAAAAAGCTAGATCTACTTCTGCTTGCCTGATAGGCCAGCAAGCTGATCACATAAAGAACTTCTGAGTTATAAATGCAGTTTTTAAAATTATTTTAAGTAAGCAAGGCTCAAGTTCAATATTACTACAAGTCCTCAACAAGGAACATTTAAGGCACACTCAATGTTCACACGTGTTGGACAAGGTGACAGGTGTAGGGGAAGTTACATTATGACATGGGAGCTGTGTGTTACTGCGACAGATGTAGGGGAGGTTACATTCATTATGAAATCAGAGCTGTGTGTTACTGCGACAGATGTAGGGGAAGTTACATTCATTATGAAATCAGAGCTGTGTGTTACTCTGACAGATGTAGGGGAGGTTACATTCATTACGAAATCAGAGCTGTGTGTTACTGCGACAGGTGTAGAGGAAGTTACATTATGACATGGGAGCTGTGTGTTACTCTGACAGGTGTAAGGAAAGTTACATTCTTTATGACTTTGGAATTATGTGTTACTGTGACAGATAGGGGAAGTTACATTGTGACATCAGAGCTGTGTGTGACTGTGATGTGTCGTGCCTGCCTGACCTTGTTTTTGTGTGTGTGTTGATAGCAGAAAAGGAAATGAGGTACTTTGTGATGTCTGAAGTGTTATTTTGTTTTAGCCTGTCACTTTTTGCAGGGGAATTTGTGCCCCAAGAACTGATCGTTTCTTCCTTCAAGCTATCAGGTCCCATGAGCTGCTAGAGAAAACTTGTAGGTTGCACTTCGCAGGATTGCTCAGTTGGTATCCTGTTGAAGTAATTCTTTATCTCCGGCAAGCCACTTCCAGCGACATTCCTTTACGACGACTTCGACATCAAATTACTTTTCGTAAATTGCCAAAAACAGGTTTCTTTTACTGGAAGTTCATTCATTAGATGAAGTACTATCAAAGTAGGTTTGCTAGTTTCGTTTTAATGACCCATTTAGTGACGTTTTTGTCATTTTTAGATGAAGTACCAAAACAGGGCCTCGGCGTAGTGGGTTTACCCCCCCCCCTCCTCGAAAATAAAGAGTTAAGTTGTGGATTGCCCGGGATTTTGTTGACTGGTTTGTTTTTGTAGGGAATTTTACTGTATGATTTTGTCAAGCTTCGGGGCCATTGTCTGTGGTGTAGTTGTTAGGCCCTTTGCCGTCACATGCAGGAGACGTGAGGTTAATTCCAGAGTAGGTAGAATTTTTATCAAGTACCTCCATCTTTCTGCTGGGATGTTGTATCCCTCTCAGTTATCGAAGCAGCCTGTCTTCTAAAGTATGTCAATTCTGTCGATAGGGTTGTAATAGGGCTGTAAAACTTCTACAATTACTTTCACCGTTAAAGTCGATAGTCCCTCAGTGGACTCCATGGTGGGGTTCCAAGGTCAAAGGTTAATTTAGTTCGTGGCCTCAGACGTGGGGACATATATAAACTTTTAGCCAGGTGTTTGTGGATTGTAGACAACTCTTCTGTCACTCATTGAAGACGAGCTCTCTGGTCCTTCGATATCACTTGAAGTCGTGCTGGTTTGGAACACTTTGAAAAAGAAACATAATAACTTCCTTATTCAAACAGATTTTTTAGTTTTGTTTTCTTAATTTGTTACCTAAATGCAACAACATTCATTCTATGAAATATGCAAATTCATTTTTCTAATATATTATGTATGATGATTCAGAATGTCCCTCAACATAACATTTGGTTTGACTGGACGTGTGTGTCCGCCACATCCATAGAGTTAAGCTGTATTTTTTTTTTATAATGGAGAGGGAGATCATTGATGAATCCTGATTTCAACTGTTGCCATGTTCCTTCTACCCAGTGTCAGTATTATGATTATTATGATTAAATTTGTATCAGTTTTTAATGCTGCTCGTGATTTTATGCAATACATTCAGTATTTCTTATTATTTTGATGACCATCACTTTTCATGTACAGTGGCATTTTGTTTTGCCATACTTTTTGCTTGTAAAACACATAATGTAATATTGGTCAGGATGTACATAATTATTGATGCTTGTGATTTTTACACATGTGTGTTTGGAGCGTGCTATAAATAGACTGGACATTTAGATTGAGAACCGTGCTACCTATTTAATAATAATAATAATAATAATAATAATAATAATAATAATAGATAGCATTTTTATAGCGCATATCCCCGCTCAGCAGCAGGCTCTATGCGCTTTACACTATATTATTACCCCAGCAGACCATAGAACACTCCGAAACATT